AAACACACACACACACACACACACACACACACACACGTGTACACACTCACATTTCCGACTGTCATCAGGTGTGAGGGAGGACAATATGTCACATCAGTCAAACCCTCCAGAGGTAATGGAACATATCAGCCTGTGTGCACCATATGACAGGGAGATGTGTGCATTTCTTGGAAGCGAAATTGAGATTTGATCAGCTCATCACTCCCTAGCACAATGACAGCGTACATACGCAGAGGAGATTGTTTTGCTGTACACGGGCTATGAGATACCTGCATAGCCATGTGAAGGACAGTGTTAGCTGTACTACCAGAGATAGCTAATCCATTAAGCTTAGAGATGAGCCGTACGGCATGACCCCACACAACCCGGTCTGGCAGCAGCCACCCACCAAGGTCCCAGGCACTCATCCTTGCAGTACTGTCTGCTCTCAATGCTCAATCTCTCTGAAATGTCTTATCACTGACGCAAGTGTGGAATACAACTTGGGAAAATAGGTTTTTGCAAGTTACTCACACAGGTGGTGGGCATGTTCTGTAACAGCTATACATGTTTTCAAAGAGCAAGTGTTTTGCTTTTCAGTGGCCACATTTCACTGATACACCAAAGAGCTTGAAGTTGTAAAATTAAATTTAGTTCACAAGATAGAGTTTGAACAGGAGTTTGGCTTTTATAGTGTATCAACTGCAACAGTGATAACAGGCACATTCAGTTAAATCCCTGTAATATCAAGCATGCCACCTTAACACAACTTGAGAAGTACTTATTTTGCTTGATAAAAGTTAATGGAAATGTTGTAATTCCTTCACTGTGTCAAGCCATCGAGATCTATCTTACCTAAAGTGAGAGAGCTGTGAGAGGAAATCCAGTGCAATGAGGTCAATGATTGCCATCTGACAGCAAATTGGGTTATGGCTGCAGATAAGCAGAGGAGTGAGTGCTTCACACCACTTAACTCAGACGTCTACATTTACTTACTGGAGGCTACAGGGTAAGTTGAGCGTCATTTCAACATGTTGACGCATGCCAGCACTTCTGCCAAGCGCGGCGTCTGAATGCTGCCAAAAAAAACCCGTCTTTCCAAGGCATTCTATTATTCATTGCCCTGGAGAACACGTCTGTCTGTGGCATGAGATGTTAAATGTGGGAGATCGTATGTGTATCACACGGCGGTGTGTTTATGATGCTCACCGAAACAGAAATGCCACAAAACCAAGCCACGCTCTCCAGAAGTAAAGCACAATGTATTTTGTTAAAGCCTGACGTCCAATTTACTGAAGAAAACACAAATGATTAATGGCCAAAGATATGAAGAGAATGAATTCCTTTATTTTTTATGAATGGACAATTATTGCCCAGGGTGCTTGTGTGCATGTTCGAGGTGAACATAGAGGACCTAGTTTGCTTTGTGCACAAAGTCACAGCCAGTCAACCTCGGCCAAGTGGGGGGGGAGCTATTTTTTTCTCTTTGTGTCCTGCGCAAGGTTGAGGCAGTCATGCTGCTGTGCATCCGATGTGATGGATGAACCAGAGCACGGCTTCTCAAAAGTTTTAATGTCACAGACGCCGAAAAGAGAGAAATATTACGGCCAACCGCCCTCTGACCCATCTCGTCTGTGTGAGGAAGTTTGTTGTAGTTGTTACATGAAGGAATCAAAGTGGGAAAGTTGCAATCCGTCATTAGAATGGCTTTATTTAGCTCATACATGTTAAATAGATAGGAAAAGAAAGAACTTAACATTGAATTTAGTTGAGATCTAGTTTAGTTTGTTCCCTTTTACACATTCCATGAATGAACAAGCGGGAGGAAGAAAAACTTAGATCACTTGCCCCTCATAATAATAACACAACTCACAGACAGACGACTGTCCATTTATTTTATCTTTTTACCGATCACATGACAATTCAATAACAAATTAATCAATAGCTATAATCACACTATAAATTTAACAGTAACTTCATAGTGATTGATTCGTTTTTCTTTGTAGATTTTCATAGGTTGAATAAAAGCTGAGCAACAGTTTAAATCGTTTTCACTCCATCAACAGAAATACACGATCTGCTTTTAATATAGCGTGTGCATATCATGTTTGAAATCCTGCTTCTTTCTATGATCCATGTCATTTGATATGAATGTAAACGGCTTCTGTAGGTTTTCAGGTCGCACTCCATTCCTGGCTTTACACATAACCAATAATATTATCAAGTCGCCTAAATCCTCATGTTTCAACACGTGACTTGAATTGGTAATAGATACATTAATAAGTGAATATAAATGGGAAAGAAAAAAATATTAAAAGGATATACAAGGAACTGAGGCTGTTTAAAAGGCCATGAATGAATTTAATGAATTTCTAAGACAGATATAATTCAACTTATGCCTCTTTAGGGCTTCGCTCGGTGTTAAATGCACTTACAAATGTGCAATAATAAACACAGATACATGTTCAAATGTAGAATAACATTCAAATGACATAATCCTCATTTGAGTATTTTAAGGTAAACTTTCATATATTTATTTCACTTAATATCTCCAGACACATGTATGCTGTATTCAAAGGGAGACATAAAAGTACAACAGTTAAATCAAACTACTAATAGAATATTCACTGCAACTCTTTTTGATTTCCTTATGTGTGTTTAACAACTACACTGAAGAATTTAAACCATGCATCATGTTTTTTTTTCCCTCTTTGCAGTTGGTTGCCAACACAGTCCTCTTCACCAGTGTCAACCTGTCAGGGCTGTTTGTGCGCATCCTGACAGAGCGAGCCCAGAGGAAGGCCTTCCTTCAGGCTCGCAACTGCATCGAGGAGAAGCTCCAAATGGAGGACGAGAACGAGAAGCAGGTACGGGACCCTGTGCACTGCTGAAAATGTGTGTGTGTGCAAGTCATTTCGACATATTATAAATTTTCTGCTAGATTTCATACCTTTTTGTCTGGCACATTCCTTATCGCTACTAACACTTAGTCCTCCTCCTGTGTTTGACAGTAAAAATATATATTTAAACTTTATCTTTCCCTTTCTCGCTTTCTCCCTCTCTCTACCACACACACACACACACTCAGGAGCGCTTGCTAATGAGTCTGTTGCCCAGGAACGTAGCTATGGAGATGAAAGAGGATTTCCTGAAGCCCCCAGAAAGGATCTTTCACAAAATCTACATCCAGCGCCACGACAACGTCAGGTAGGCTTCTCTCATCAACCCAACACAGCTATGGGCCAGTCACAGCAATATAGTGACTTAACTGATGGTGCTTTTAATTAGTGGCTTTTGGAGATACTCCGTTCTCCTCATGGGATGAGTTCCATCTGAACTAGTGGAATAAATGCTGTCTGAGTGCATTACAGTGCATGTTAAAAAGGAGCTGTATAACTTGAGCTAACATGTCCTTGGGTAAAAACACTGAAGGCCACACAATATAGTGTGATCCGATCCAACAGTAACCTAAAACACTAACATGGCCCCAGGCTGCAGAATCTGATATATTTAATTTTTCACACTGAACATCAAGGGCTAGTCCCTGACACACTTGTTTATTATCAGTCCAGATAAAACGGAAATTATGGCAAAGAGGTTTGGTCGGTATGGGTGGAGCATTCTGGAGAAATAGAGTTACACTGTATGTGCTTCAAGGAACTAATCCAACATCTACTGATGATGTCAAGGTCAAAATCAGCTCATAATTTTTGCTGTGCTACAGCTAATGTGCCAGTTGTGCACATGCCAACTTCTGGGCCATCATCTCCCAGCAGCCCTCAGGTGCTACGAGGTTTATACCCGACTGTCTCCCTCTGAGACATTACAGGATCTGCTTTCTTCAGACCGTAGCTGTAAACAGCTAAATGTAAACTTTAGAAGATGTAACTGGTAAATCATCGCTGGGTTCAGTATATCCCCACCCTCACAGAATAATGTGATTAGATAATGGATGGACGGGCAGATGTACAGACAAATGATGGTATTGCTGTAACTATTCCAGGTGAAAGTCCAGCATTCAAAATATGATGCAGAATAATATAATCAAGTAAATACATCAGATGTAAAATTACTCATTATGTGTACTTTATTAAGAATCCACCTCTTACAATATACTTTACTATTCTGTACTATATTATTTTATACTATACTGTAATGTACTACTATACAAGTCTACTATACCCTACTCTACTCTACTCTACTAGACTCTACTCTATTCTACTAGATGAGACTAATTTTTGCTCGAGTGCAGTGCTTGTTTATGGTCCACCTGTGCACATCTGCACTTTCGCTCCTGGTTTTTTTCCTTCTGCAGCTGTAAATTAGCTGTGATTGACCTTTAAACCCTTTGTCAGAAAGCTGTTAACAGTACGCTTGAAAACATGGAGTAACTCTGCTTCTCAATCTCTAAATCTCAAAAATGTTCTTTACGTTTTTCTTCTTCCTCGTCTCCCCTTTTCGCCCGTCTCCTACTGTATTGCTAAATCTCCCTTATCACCCTCCAACATTCCCTTGTTTCCTTCTCTTATCTTCTCCTCTCCCTCCTCTCCTCTGTGTTCTCGGAGCAGCAGGGAGGCTTGAGCAGGAGAGTTTGCTTAGCCTCAGGATTAAATTGCTACAGGAGATTAAATGCAATGGAGACTAAATTCTGGTTGCATAACGCTCTGAATATGTGTGTGTGTGTCTGTTTGTGCATGTTCTGTGGTTAAATATGGACACATCTCGGCGGAGCACCGCTGATTGCTTTTGTGCCTTGAACTCCTTTAGATAGCGCCACCCTTTGAGTGTGATCTAGACGGGATGCAGACGTGATTTATGTGATTTGGGTGGACTGTAATTAGAAAGTAAACAGTGTGCAGCACAGTTTTCTTCATTATGTTCTGAGGCCGTGGGCAGCGTTTGATCAGATTATAGACACCAGCCCGGGGAATATTGTAGTAATCAGTCACCAAAAAAAGGAATATGACTCCAAAGTAATAATCAAGTTTAATAAGACAAATGAAATATATTAGAACCCCATACTGACATAATCTTTCATTATTTTACATTTTCAAACCTACACGTATTAATTTTCTTTCTAAATGTATCAAATAAATAGCAATTCCATTATTTATATGATTAATAAGGTGAACACAGGGATGAGTTATGGCCCTCCACTGTTAAACATCCATAATTATACATAATTTAAAGGCTTTTAGATGCATAATCATTTCATATTCTTAGATTATATTATTGTCTTGAATAAAAGACGCATTTTCAGCACTTTAACTTTGTTTTTTAATTAATTTCCATCACGTCTGTGTTGTATGTTATTTCATTCCACCATTTAAGATAGATAAGTATAATATTGCCCAGTTGATATTTGATGTAGGAAGCTTTTAAAGACTTTTATTGCATCAGTAAAATAATTATGATGCAGACAATGTGAGGAGTGATGTCCGGGAAGAACAGAAATGCCGAAATAAAAGAGAAAATCATAAATAGGAGGTTTCATGATGTTCATTCACTCCAAAGAAACAACAGTTTATCCTTCAACAAAATGTTGCGAGCATCTCTTCTGCATGACCCCCTTTTTTGGCCGGACGTCAGCACATCCCCTGCCCACGTCCTGCAGCTCCATAGGGGCCCATCTAAACTTAACCTTTGAGTTGCCGTGCGGCCTGTAGTCCTCCTCTATGTGATTAAATTCAAATCAAACTCACTAAAATAGCTACAGTAATGCCCCCCACTGAGGGAAACGGGAGATTATCATAATTGGGGGAATAACTTTCCTAAAATATGTGCCAGTGGAGAGGAAATTATGTACGAGGGTGTGAGGGAGTTTGAATTAGACGATATTAGATGCTAGACAAGTTCTAGTTACCACAGGAATAATCATGTTTGTGTTGCGTGGCTCGTTTTTATGAGCTGCAGCGCTTTGTCTGCCGGAGATGATGTGTTTAATGAGTTGAGGGAGGAGGTTTTGACCTCGAGCAGCGAGCGTGTGACGGTGCAGCAGGTCTGGTCGGAGGCTGGAGAAACTTATAGCTGTTGCCAAGAATGCTGCATTGATTGTTTTGAAGATTTTGCCAGAGGGCGTTCAAAATCAGAAACTGCAACCTGTGAAAACACACAAGCATTTGAGGTGTAAGTTCCATGAACGGGAATCTAACACAAAGTCAAATATCTACATAAGCCTACTAGTCTGCAGAGGTTTTCATCTGTGTTTGTTAGTTTTTTGGTTGTTAGTTTGTTTGCTATTAGGATTAAACAAAAACTACTCAATCGGTTACTATTACCTTGTGGAGGGGTGGGGCATGACCTGAGGAAGAACCCACGAAATTGGAGCAGATCCAGTACATTTTTTTCCCCTTTCTTTAACATTGCAAAATATATATATAATCATTGATTTCATGCATCTTGATGAAAAAAATCTGGCATATTTAGGGGACTGATATCTACGACTGTGTGAGTTTGGTGCAGATCCAAATAAAAAAACGGATCTAGAAAGTTTAAATGTGTTAATTAGAGGACTGCTGGGCCTTGAGGGAGGTATGTGCTCTACTGTGTGACATTCCAGTTTATATTTGTTTATACACATGGATATGATTATAAATTACCAAAAAAGCTTATGTCTGGATTTATGAACTTTAATGATGTGCTAAGTGGAACAAGTTCCTCATACTGTACTTTATCATGAACACTTTTATGAGCTGAATTTGCAGTTCCCAGCATCTTTCAACCCACATCACATGCCGATCGCTAGACCTTTCACTAACGCTATGCTGTGCTCGCCACCATAACAACATATTTCTGTATCTTTGTGAAAAGCTAGAGCTGAGGAATGTGATCAAGTCTTTCAATAAGTCCTCATGCTTCTTCAAGGCTACATCAGAAAGCCTGGGCTTTGAATCGAGCAGCGCTGTGGTGTGCTAGCGGTTGAAAGGAGGTAAACACGGACAAAAATAAACGGACTGTGGTAAAGTTTTCATGGGGTCACGAAACACTGGCACCGTGCACTCAATGGGAAGCTCCGCTGCAGCGAGTCACGGCTGGTTTGTGTTTCCTGCGCGAGTAGCAGGAGTCAGGTTTTTTTTTCAAGTAAGAAAAATCCAAACCCTAACCCCCTAACTCTTTTTTTTTCTTATCGAATCTTATGAAAATTTCTGCCTAAACGCTCTGACAAAAACCAGCGTCCCTCAGTCCTTTCTGTGCCACATTGCTGCGATCTGTTAGAAGCCATTATTGGAACACATCAAGTCAGAGATGCAATAAACTGTAGCTGCACTACTCCAGGCAGATGTTGTAAAGCTACTGAGTGTAAGTCTGACACAATTAACATTGTTTTCAATAAGCAGAAGTACAGTCCTCTCATTTTAATTGCTACCAGTTTAAGTAAAGATACATCAAATGCAGTGGTTGGCTCTGTCACTTCACAGAAATAAGGTTTGAATCCTGGTATGATCTATGTGGCGCATGCATGTTCTCCCAGAGTTTGTGTGGGTTTCCTCTTGGTACACAGGCTTCCCCCCACAGTTCTAAAACTTGCAGTTCAGGGTTAGGTTGATGAGAGACTCTGCATTGACCATAGGTGAGAATGTGAATGGTTGCTTGTCTCCAGACCTGTGAACCTCAAAAGATATTGGTATAGATGAAGGACGAATGGAATTTACTGCCTTTCTCTCTTCACCCAACAGCTCTGCAGATATGATGTTTGTATTAAATGCAATAAATTCAATTTTATGTTTCTTGTAATAAACTGATGAGAATAAAAAACGAAAAACAACAAAATTACGTTTTTGTAATAAGAAGGTAAAGTAAAACAAAACTCATAATTCTACTCCTAAATAATTGTTACAAGTGGGAAAGCTTTTGTGATTTTACATTTCAAACATACTAGAGATATGAGGGAGAATTTTCCAACCAGTTTCTTCAAGAAGAAGGTTTATGGCAAAAAACTGTAATTAAATCAGAGTCTGGTGCAGTCGTGAAATGAAATTAGTCGTGTCACTTTAAGGGATTAAATAACTGGGCATGTGTTGTGTAGGTTGATCACAAAATTAATTTGTTGTTTATCCAGCTCTTTGGTCTGTTGTTGAGTAATTCACAACACAAAGTGAAGACGCTTCGGCTGTATCTATATTCTCCCATGAGGTGTTTTATTTTTGCCCACTGATCTTAAACACATTACACTGAGGATTTATCGTCCCAAATATTTGTCACCCACAGATGGTTCCAGGTTGAAACATTCGCATGAGTCGATTCCACTGCCCCTGATTACAGTGACATCTGTGAGACAACAAAATGACATTTAGCAGCTCCCCCTTACAGATCCAGCACTGTGTCACACTGTGAAAACTGCAGCCCTGCCATCAGCGCCGCACAGAGCTGCAGACGCTTGAGTTGTGCTGGACAGTCAGAGTTTGATGACTAATCCCCTTCACACCCTCAGTTTCCATACAGGGGCGAATCCTTCACAGGAAAAGTTACTGCTTGGAATCTTTTCCTGTGAAGGATTCGTTGAGCTATAATGAAACAAGGCAAATAAGATCATTGGTACAAATCACATCTGGTTCAGAGGATAATCAGGTTGTATAAACAGGGGAAAATAAAAGTTGAGCTGAATTTTTTTTACGCTTTTTTTTAAGGAAGGAAATATTAGAATTTGAAAGCACAAAATGTTTTTGACATGTTTTTGGAAACAGCTTCTCGGATCCAGTCCTCTGGGGCGGCATTGAACTGACATCTGCGGGACCGCATTGCTCCTAGCAACTGGAGCATGCCACATCCCTGTAGTCTAGAAATGTTCATAACACGCATTTTTTCCATTAAACACATCTGATCCATTGTGCTTTACACGCTAGTGTTATCCGTCTCTTTTTCCTACTTTCATTTGGTTCTCTAGTTGTAGTGACGGCCAATAATCCCACTGTGGAAATCTACAGCAATGGGTAATGGGTCGTTGTGTAACCTCAGTTCAATGTATGTTTCAATGTGATTCCATACAACGATTTAATTCGTCAGGGTATCGTCAAAAATAACTCAATAACAGATTTTCACCGAACCTAGGATCTCCAGCTGATTAACTTTTGGGTCTGATAGATTAGGGGTGTGGGGTCAACTCCCCTACAGCAGAGAGCTGTGTACTTGTTGCATGAATGTACACAGCAAAACCGTTATAGAAGGAGTTTATCCCGAATCCAAACCTGCCAAGTACCGTAAGATCTTTATGGATGTTTTAATACCCAGCGACATGGGTAGGATTCCTCTCTGTGCCTCTGATGGTCAGTGTGATCGTGTGGGAGCGAGGCAAAGATCACTCTCCTCTTGTTCATTTCCAAGCCAACAACAGATCCTGTAATTTAGTTAGGAGAACTGACTATAGGAGGCTCACATGCACACAAACAACTTCTGGTCATCAAGAGGGTTGGATTTCTGGTCATTATAGTTTGAAGGGAGGGCATCCCCCCCTCTCCTACAAATCCCCTACACTGAGTAACTAATATGCAGAGTCCAGGCAGATGGAGCTCAAACCACATTTTAAAATTTGACCACACCATGATGTAAACAATGGATTACTTCTTCACCAAGTTGAATTTTAAACCTCAAGCACTTTCAGTCCCAAATAAACCAGCCGTCTGAAGGGAGAAGGGGAAAGCACCTTGATTGCTGAATTATATCCTAGAATGGCTCCTCTCCAGCTCCTTACAGGACAAGTTCTCCACCTTGATCCCCGTGAGAATGCTCTTGCTTCTATTTTGAGTCGCTCTGCTTGACTGTGCTGCCTGTCAGCAAGAGTGGCACAATCTCTCTCTCCCTCTCGCTCCCTGTGTTTCCTTTTTTCTTTTCCCGCTACAGGTCATTAATTTGAATGTCTGATTAGTTTTCTGCAAACACATTATCCAAGGAGAATGCTCAAATTGACTTTGGCTCGGGATGCCTAAATATCATTTTAAACAAATTCCAGAGAGCTAATCTGATCGGGCACCCAGTAATCTTTCGATGATACAGTATAACACGCTGCTATAAATAACCCGCGTTGACTCATTCGCTTCTTTTCTTCTTCTGTTGCAGCATCCTGTTTGCAGATATAGTTGGTTTCACCAGCCTGGCCTCACAGTGCACAGCCCAGGAACTGGTGAAACTGCTAAATGAGCTGTTTGGAAAGTTTGATGAGCTTGCCACGGTGAGTGTGTTTCCCTTCTTGAACAAATATCCCTCATTACAGTCCCTGCACACAGAGCTGCTCTTTTTCTCCATGTGTCCACACATTTTGACACAGGAAGGTTATGTGTGTGTGTTGGTCCTGCTTTGGCCACAGGCTGCTGGCACATGCCACTGTTGTACCAGCTTAGCATAATGTCACAGCGAATACTGGAGGTCCATATGATGCTTAATGTGATTATCCAGCGCTTCATTTGAGGAAGAGTTGACAGACCTTTTTAATCTAGGCCAGATTTAGCCAGGGTTAAACCTCGCCTCCACTCCGGTCATGAGAGCGAACTAAAAGAAGGGGCCGCTAAGTTGCACTAGTCCCAATCGTTCTTGGTTGGCATGTGGGAAAGATTTCAGCGTCCCCATCTGTCAATATCTCACTCGTTGTGATTTCAGTGCCGACAATCCGCTCAACCGCTGCTGCTGCGAGTTTTACCGCTTTACTCGACGCTCTAAAAACGTGACACTGTAAATGCTGCTATTATGAAATCTTCTTGGCGTAGTTTCACTTATAAGTCGTGCTAATTAGAATGAACAAAAATAGTATTGTTCTTTCTCAAGGGTTGTTGGTTAGGCGAGAAGGTTGAGCCCCTGCACAGCCTTATCTACATATAATCTGGCCTCCATTACTTACACTGGGCACATGCCCTTGTCAAATCCATTAATCCATAGGATTACAACTAACCCCTTTTTGCTTTCATAGAAGTTTTTTCTTGGCTGTTAAGAGCATCTATTTTTAGCTTGTTTGCTTACACAGCGCAAAATTAGAACTGAAAGAAGACGTTGACTTGATATTGCCATCAATCATTTCTTCTGCCAAGGATGTTATGTTTTTTTGATTTGCATGATATTTTGTGAAGTGGGGATCCAGGAACTTTTGTTACTTTCTTCAGCATTGTGTTTGT